TTTCTTCTTTGATCCATGCATTATTTAGAAGTGTGTTGTTTTAATCTCTATATATTTTGGGATTTTCTAGTTATCTTTCTGTTATTGATTTCTAGTTTAATTCCACTGTGGTCTGAGAGCAGACATTATGTGATTACTGTTCTTTTAATGGCTAAGATGTGTTTTATGGGCCAGAGTGTGGTCAACTTTATTCTAGTTTATGACTCAAGAATATTCCATTGTATAGATATACCACATTGCATTTATCCATTCAACTGCTGATGGACATGTGGGTTGTTCCCACCTTTGGCTATGTGAATAATGTTGCTATGTACTCGTACTCACTGTACATGTTGTGTACAAACACTGTTTGAATACCTGTTTTCAATTCTTTTGGGTATATACCTAAAAGCAGAATTGCTGGGTTATATGGTAACATTTTGAGGAATGACCAAACTGTTTTCCAAAGTGGCTTCACCATTTTACATTCCCACCAGCAACATTTGAGAGTTCCAATTTCTCCATATTCTCACCAACAGTTGCTATTTTCTTTCTTCTAAATTATAGCCATTCCGGTGGGTATGAAGTGGTATCTCATTGTGGTTTTGATTTGCATTTTGACTAATGAGGTTAAGCATCTTTTCGGCCATTACATATCTTCTTAGGAGATATATCTATTCAAGTCTTTTGCCCATTTTAAAATGGAGTTACTTTGTCTATTTTGTTGTTGAGTTGTAATAGTTCTTAATGTATTCTGGATTCTAGACCCTTATTGGATATATGATTTACAAATATTTTCTCCCATTCTCTGTTGTCATTTCACTTTCTTGATAGTGTCTTTTGATGTACTCTCTACTTTTATTTTGATGAAATCCAATTTATCTATTTTTACTTTTGTTGCTTATGCTTTGGTGTCATATCTAAGAGTTCATTGCCAAATCCAAGGTCTTGATGAGTTACTCCTATATTTTCTTTGAAGAGTTTTATAGCTCTAGTGATTACATTTAGGTTGTTGGTCCAGTTTAATTTTTGTAGATGGTGTGAGGTAGGGGTCTAACTTCATTCTTTGGTATATGGACATCCAGTTGTCCTAGAACCATTTGTTGAAGACATTAGAAAGAAACATTTTAAAGAAAATAAAAAAATAAAAATAAAATAAAAATAAAAATAAAAAATTAAAAAAATAAAATAAAATAAAATAAAATTAAATTTCCTGGTGACAGATTTAAATAAAAAAAAAAAAAAGAAAAATGTTATATAAAATACTAGTGTAATGTGTGTGTGTGTGTGCGCGTGTGTGTACACTGAGCTGATATTGCAAAAAGTGTTGAGGTGGTACTTGAGTGAGTGAAGTCTGGGCAATGCTGTTTCTAGTGGAGTTTTTTAAGGTTTCCTCTGGGCTGGGAGATGCTTCATTCAGGAAAAGATGCCAGAAATGAGGGTATATGGCCACTGGTCTCTCACCCAGAGGGCCAACTTGTCAAGACCCCACCCTCTGCTCCCTTCCTCTGCTATTCCTAGACATGCATTCATGGACTAGGGATCTCTGGAACAAAGGAGAGTGATTTCCCTGCTCTCCCCCGACCCTTCCACCACTTACCTGGTACCCAGCCATTCCCTCCTCTTTCCCTAACTAGGCCTTGGTCCAGCTGCAGACCTGGCACCTCTCCCATTTAGCCAGATGCAGTTCCAAAATCAACCTCAGGAGCATTTGGATATGTTTTCCAGCCCAGACTAATGGTGCTGCTGTCCACAGCCTGGACCCAGGTTTGTTTCCTCTGGGTGGGGTTGCAGCTCCTCACCTCCTAGAAGGTTGTGGAAGTGTAGCTTTTTTTCATTTTGCTTTTGGAACATAAGCATATTTCCAAGTCTTTCTAGCCAAATGATGACATTGTGGGCTTGTCAGCCTCTTTGTCAGTGCTGAGTGGCTCCATATGCTGCCCTTAGCCATAGCCCAGGTGCTCTCAGCTGTGTGTGCTTCCAGGGGTGCCAGAGCACAGTGCTGCAAACTGGGAGGCTCCAAACAACAGAAATTTATTCTCTCACAATTCTAGAGTCTAGAAGTCCAAAGTCAGGGTATTAGTGTTAGTTCCTATCAGAGGCTCTCAGTGAGAACTGTTCCATGCCTCTCCTAGCTTCTGGTGGTTGCTGGCAATCCTTGATGTCCTTTGCCTTGGAGATGCATCAATTCCAATCTCTGAGTGCTCACATGGCATTCTCTCTGTGCCTCTTCTCCTCATTTTCTCAGGGCACCAATCATATTGGACTGAGGGCCCACCCTAGTTCAGTATGACATCATCTTAACTAGGTACATCTGCAGTGACTCTATTTCCAAATAAGATCACATTCTGTGGTTCCAAGAAGGACATGAATTTTGAGGGGGACACTTTCCAGCCGGGTACATCAGGCAACGCCAAGGGCATAACTAGGTAGGAGGCCATGGCTGACACTCCCTGCTTATGAGTTCCTCCTTGCCTCCTCTGTGCCTTTTCTTCTTCTTCTTTTTTCTTGAGACACAGTCTCACTTTGTTGCCTGGGCTAGAGTGCCGCGGTGTCAGCCTAGCTCAAAGCAACTTCAAACTCCTGGGCTCAAGCAATCCTGCCTCAGCCTCCCGAGGAGCTGGGACTACAGGCATGCGCCACCATGCCCAGCTCATTTTTTCTATATACTTTTAGTTGGCCAATTAATTTATTTCTATTTTTAGTAGAGACGGGGTCTCGCTCTTGCTCAGGCTATTCTCCAACTCCTGACCTTGAGCAATCCTCCCGCCTTGGTCTCCCAGAGTGCTAGGATTACAGGCGTGAGCCACCATGCCTGGCCTTATGCCTTCCCTTCTAATAGCCTGCACCTGCTACTCCCTTTGGAGGCCCTCCCTTGAGCTCTAGAGCTGCTTTGCTCTCATACACAGAAGTGCACACACATGTGCACACACGGAGCCAGGGTGCCTGAACATTTATGTCCCCTGGGGCTGCCTTGGCATGCTAATGACCAAGAGGTGCACACGCACAAGCCCAGCTCTCTGGCCTGGAGCTGAGAACAAACTATGAGGTATAATTTACATTCCAGAGTCCCCCACAGCTCAAATTCAAGCTGACTTCTTTCCCTCCCTGTCCAGTGGCCCTTCTGCTGGTACTGGCTTGTCCTGGGAGCACTTCCTTAAGAAATCCCTTTCACATGAACCCTCTTCTCAAAGTCTGCCTCTGGGAAGCCCCACCTGAGACAGGTCCCCATACATGAAGCTGTTGCAGCCAGGACTGATATGCAGGGACTGTGCCCCAGGGAGCCATGACAGAGCCCACCTGCCGGGATTGTGAGGGCTCAGAGATTCAGGGGTGATGGTGCTCTGTAAATGAGAAGGCCTCTTTGAGCACAGGCAGGCCACCCCCAACCACATTGCCCAAGATCTTCTAATCGTGTCCTTTCAGGCTGCTGACCAACTAGGTCAGGAGTTAGTGCTGACATGTGGCACTTCTTCCTCCATAGGATAAAGGTGACCAGACCTGTTGTTCACAGTCCTGTGTGCCAGCCATGAACCAGGCCTGAGTCCTTTGCTCCTCTGACAGCTGACTGTGGGAAACCACCATGAGGCCACAGGTGCGTGTTGAGGGACAGGTATAGACACAACAGATGTGGGTGGCATGGAGTCTGGCACATCTCTTTGTGTCACATACTTGTACCTCTGGACTTGCCAGTCCCGATTCCAAACGCCATTGTACCATTTTCACTGTATAGTGGGCTGCTGCTATGCCCCCATCTTATGATTTGGTGGATGTGATAACACCCAGCTCACAACCGGGAAGCTCAGGTGGCGTTGTCACTTCCTGTCTCACGGCCAGGCTCTGAGTGTCTGTACAGTCCAGAGGCATGCCAGAAATTGTCTTTCAAAAAAAGAGTAGTTCTTTGCTGCAGAAAGTTCTAGAGATCTGCACTGGGACTCTTCTATTGGGTTTGTCAAAGGTGCCACCCAAACTCCTTATCTGGCACTGTGGAATCTCCTTGTCATGTGGCTTGAACAGCAGAGTAGCTTGCACTGTGGCCTGGGCTTCTGCAAAGTTATCTCTTGCTTGGTCTCAAAACTGGTGACTTCTGAAGTGTGGGATATGCTGTTTTGAACTTCAAAGAGGACAGAGAGGGTGGGCATTAAACAACAGGAACTCATTCCCGCACAGGTCTGGGGTCAGAAGTCTGGAATCCAGGTGCTGACAGGGCTGTGCTCCCTCCAAAGGCCGGTTCTCCACTGCTGCTGGTGCTTCTCCAGGTGCTTCTTGGCTGTGGCTGCATCTCTCCAGTGTCACTTTGTGGTCTCTTCTCCATTTGTCTCTCCTTTGTGGGTCTTTTGCAGGGACATTTGTTATTGGATTTAGGACCTGCCTGGATAATCCAAAATTATCTTCTCATCTTAAGATTCTTAACTGAATTACACCTGCAAAGATCTGTTTTCCTAATAAATAATCATAGATTCTGGAAATTAGAATATGGACATACCTTGGGGGGGGGTAGTCTTTCATCCTACTACATGGGAGAGGCACAAAATGCAGCAACTCATCCTCTGTCTTGGCGGGGACAGCTTGCCAACAAGGTCTTTGAGCATCTTGACCTTCTACAGGCACCATTCGGGCCTCTCATGTTGACATCATACGGGGGTTGGCTGCAAACAGCTCTTATCTGTGCCCTTCGCCGGAGAATTGCTCTCTGCCAAACGCTGGGCATCTCACCATGAGGTGACACCCTTCAGGGGGTTGGCGAATCCTGCCTGCTGGCATGGGGCACAAAAGGCAGCCTCCAGCCCAAGGATAACAAGGATTAGCGATTAGCTTTCCTCCCCTGCTCTTTCTGGCTTCCCTTATTCTACTTCTCCTGAAAGCCCACTTGCCCCAAATCCCCATCTCTAGCTGTGCTTCTGGATCCTGACCTGAGACAGTCCCCGGGACTGCTGTGATGATGGAGCGTGGCGCTCACGTGGCGCGGAGGCAGGGCTGCGCAGGCGCGGAGGCAGGGCTGCGCAGGCGCGGAGGCAGGGCTGCGCAGGCGCTGTGGCGGGCAAGCTGTGCTGCTCCTCTGCTGCTGTCGTGAAGGAGCGTGTGCCACGTTGGCAGCCACACGCCACATCCCAGGCGCTGTGCTCCTCTGCTCTAGTCGAGATGCCACATGCAGCACAGCAGGTGAAACTGGGCGCTACCTGGCTAAGCTTATGGAGGGCTGCACTTGATTTTGACAGACCTTCCCTGACTATCCAACGTTGCCTTCCAGCTCCCTTCCTCCATCACATCATCCTGTTTTATTTTTTATAGCGCTTATTGCTGCCTGAAATCATGTAATATATTTATTTGTTGGTTCGTGGCCTTTCTCCCCAGCTAGGGTGCAAGCTGTATGGGACTAAGGACATTGTCTAACGTACCCAAGCACCCAACACTACAATGGGTGCTTAACCAGTATGTGTTAAGTGACTAAAAGAGCAGACCAGTGTAGCCATTTCTGGGGGTCCCTGCGGTGGGAGAAGGCAAGTCAAGGTGGGCTGCCTTCCAGGTGGTGAAAATCCTCCTGGCCTCGGCCAGCCTCTCACCGGCCAGTCTCCTTGTTGGGTCTGGCACGGACCTCAAGGAAACATAACGTTTTTAATAAAACCTCAGAGTCAATAAAGGCGAATGGTCTCGGTGCCTCTCCTGCCCGCCCCAGCTGTTGACTTTAGAAGTCAAGAGGTTGGGGTGTTGCCCGACTCCCGTGTCGCACGGGGAGATATAAGCTAGAAGGGCCTGGCCCATTTTATATGAAAAAAACAAAGCAAAACAAAACTCGCTGGGCCCTGGAAAGATTCCACCGCCAGCCAGAATCAAAGGTCCATTCAGAGCGACAGAACTCCTCACAGTCGCCGCTAATGAAAACCAAATTTCTCACTCCTCTGGGCATTTCCAGGGGCTGCGATGGAGGGGCTGCCATGGAGCACTCGGCCACCGACGGGGCTCCACTGCGGGGAAACAGTTTTATGATAATATGGGCCTCGCATTTTTCTAATCTCAGGCATCAGTGATTTAGGACCGAGTTGTTTTCATGGAAAAAGAAATAGAACCTGTTTGTGACAGAGAAAGCCACCTCCTCGGCAGATGGCCCCACCGTGAGCGTGTCGTGGGGCGGGGGCCGGGGACGAGCTGGAGGGGTACAGGGACGGCGATTTCTGTCTTGCGCCCGTGTTTTGGGACATCTTAGAACCACAGCTCGGTAGGGTAGACGCGTCACTCTCAGAAGCAAAGGATCATAAAGCCGGTGTTCTTTCTGCTACTGTTTTTAAGAAAGGACATTTTCTCATTTCTTTTTCTCTTTTTACACCCCCACCCCCCACAATCAATCTTTATAAGCAACTATGTGTCATGGGGCACAAGCTCAGGAGTGCAAGAAATATCACCTTTTCCCCTAAAGTCAACTTAATTTTTACTTTCAGCCTCCAATGTCTTTAGCTGGGAAACTTAAACCCGACCTTTTCAGTGTGAAAGCTCTGCCTTCGTCAGGTGAGGCGGAATTCTGTCCTTGTTCCTCAGTTTCTTCATCTGTAAAATGGGGATAAAGATCTTACATACCTTAATGGGCTGAGCTAAAAATGGCAAAATATATAGACTAGTGCCTGGCATGCAGCAAGTATTAGTGATTTTTTTTTTCTTTTTTTGAGACAGCGTCTTGGTCTGTCACTTGGGCTAGAGTGCAGTGGCATCATCATAGCTCACTGCAGTCTTGAACTTCCTGGGCTCAGGCAATCCTCCTGCCTCAGCCTCCTGAGTATCTGGGATGACAGGCATGCACCACCATGCCCAGCTAATTTTTGTATTTTTTGTAGAGGCGGGGTCTTGCTCTGTTGCCCAGCCTGGTCTCAAATTCCTGGCCTCAAGTGACCCTCCCACATCAGCCTCCCAAAGTGCTAGGATTACAAGTGTGAGCCACTGCACCTGGCCTAGATAATATTATTATTAATATTATCCCAAAGGTAAAAAGAATGCATCAAACCCAGCATGGGAGTATCAGGGAAGGCAACCTGGAAGAGTGACATTTTGGCTGGCAGGTGAGTTGGCCATGATCTTGAACTCTAGCATGATCTCCAGCTCTTCTGCTTGAATATTTATCAGTCTAGAAGTGTGATATACTACACCACTAACAAATGTGCTTGTTTTAGAAAACAGAAAAATACAAAGAAGAAAACAGAAAACAGCTCTAATCCCATCTTTCCAGTGATTTCCTTCTAGATTTTTTTATCACTATTTTTAACTAAACTGTATGTACAGTGTGTATCTTGCTTTAAAAAGTTTATTCCCTAAAGGTGTTTATATAATTATAGAAAATGAAGATCTGGATGGGGGAAAAGCCCCAAAATATTAACTGTGGTTATCTTTGGAGGGGTGGGGTTGTGAGTCATTTTTTCTTGTTCTCGTTTTGGTCATCTGTATTATCTACTTTACCTCTCGTGATTATGTATTATCTTATGTCATTTAAAAATGTTTTTTTAAAATTTAATACATAAAACTTGGGAACCTCAGACTCAGTCTTACAACCTCCACATCCTCAGAGGAGAGGGGGTGAACGGACCAAACTCTGAGCCTTGGACCTTCTAGTCTGACAGGCTGGATGTGGCCTCGGGTGTGGTCAGCAGGTTTCCATGAAAAAACTGAGGCAGGACATAGGCTTTATTAAAAACTGGGGGGTTGGCTGGGCTGCAGTGGCTCGTGCCTGTAATTCCAGCTCTTTCGGAGGCCATGGGGAGGATCGCTTGAGGCCAGGAGGTCAAAACCAGCCTGGGCAACAGTGAGAACCCATTTTTATAAGAACAATTGAAAAATTAGCCAAGCCTGGTGGCATGCGCCTATAGTCCCAGCTGATTGGGAGACTGAGGCATGAGGATTGCTTGGGCTCAGAAGTTCGAGGCTGCAGTGAGCTATGATCACTATACTCCAGCCTGGGCAACAGAGTGAGACCTGGTCTCGAAATGCAAACAAACAAACAAACAACTTGTGGGGCAGAGGGAGGGAGAGGGCAATAGCAGAGACTAAGGCCTTTCCCCAGTGGCTCTGTTAGATGCCACTAACCCTGAGGGATCGAGAGACACTGAAGCCCGGGGTCCGGGGTGTGGCGCTCTTCCTGTGACGTTAGTGCTGGAGATGTCCAAGATGCTGCTTAGCTCCCCTCCCGGCATGTGGCACAGGCTTCGCCCTCCGCTGCCTGTGAACAGCTCTGCACCCCCAGCCCCAGCCCGTGCCAGCACGGGGCTCCTCAGCGTGGCTCCCCCGTGTATCCACGACCTGCCACCCGTCCCCAACCCATGGCCATTGCTCCGCCTTCCCAAGTGTCCCTTCTGCTCAGCCCCCCTGGTCCTCCATGGGAGACAGGCACATGGGCTCCCTCATCTTCCCATCTTATCTGGGGGAAGGGACGCCCCCTCTGAGCAGCCTCCCACTCCACCGTCATCCACACCACGTATCCCACAGGTTAGTGCCCCATGAGAGCCCCAAGACATGGCTGTGACTTCTTCACCTTGTCCTTCCTGGTGTCTGGCAGCTGGGGGTGGGTGGGACTCAGGTCTGTGTTTGGAGAACAAGACTTGGGGCCCAAAGAGTCTAGTGGAGTGGGGTGGCCCAATCGGCTGCCACTCATTAGGACACCAGAGAGCCCACCCCTGTTTCCAGCGGTCGGGTGGGGGCGCAGAGGGAAGGGGCTCCAGAGAGCTGGCTCTGGGGCTGCTCTGCTCTCCTGGGCAGACAGAGTCCTCCGGGCCAGGCTCAGGGCAGGCTTTTTCTGCGGGTGAATATAAATACACAAAACAAACAGCACGCTCTTAGCTGCAAAACTAAAAATAGGAAGCTCGGAATCTGGCTCCAGGGCTCCCCTAGGCGCTGGACCACACAGGTGTGGCTGCGGATGTTAGGGGGATGTGGCCCCTCACCCCGCCCCACGCCGCAGCCCTCCCAGGGAGGATGAGGGGCTTTCTGGGGCTCCGCCAGGAACAGCTCATTCTTTCACTCCGGCCTCCCCCGCCCCTGTCCTTTTTGACAGCTCGTTTCATTTATGACCCCAAAATGAACTGCCCCGCCGAGGTGCCTTCCCCACTTACGTGGCCACGCTGGGGTGTTTGGTGCTGCCGAGAGCAGCCCCCTGGGCCGGGCAGGGTCCTGGCTGGCTGTGTACGGGGTGCAGTCTGGGGCGGGGGAGGGGTCCGGGCCGAGGCAGGTCTGGGTCTGCATCCAGCCCTGCCCTGCACGTGGCACCGGCCCACACTGTACTGTCTCCCCAAACCCTCACAGCTTCCCCCCTGGAGACGTGTCATTAACTCTGGCTTGTAAAACCCCGCACAGGTGACCATTTCCCCAGCCAGAGCCCTGCCCAGGCCGGGCTGCTCCCCGAGGCTGGCAAGGTGGCCCTGTCGACTTCACCCACGAAGCACAGCCCAGGGGGGCACTCTGGGAGCCCCGAGGCCGGCACCACCTCTCAGAATGCCGCCAGGCCAGCCACAGGCCGAGGGGACTCCCAGGGCCTCTGAGAAGGAATTCTGGAGTCCAAGGGCTCCCAGGCCCTGGGACCAAACGGCCTCCTCAGCCTGGGCCGGCTGCTTCGCGTCCCAAGCTCCTGCCGAGTGGGGCTGCAGGACTGCGGAAGCCACCCCTTCCTTCCAGCCAGGTCCCTGTGACCCTACTACACACCTGGCACACAGTAGGTGCTCATTCAATGGGACTAAAAATGGAGGCTTACAGAGGGGGCGGCCACATAGCTCAGGGAGGAAAAACCCTTCCTGTACATCAAAACCTTCGCCGGGCCCTTTTGGGGATAGATCTCCTGAGGTTAGGAAGTCCTTTCTAACACCGAACCCAAATTCTGGCTGCAACTGAGGCAGCCCCTTCCCCGCCTTACGTAAAGCGGTGAGTGTCCACCTGCTGCCGGGCTGTGCCCGCCCTGCCGCCACCTGCAGGCCGCTGCGGCTACTGCAGTGCTCGGCAGCCTGGGGCCTCAGCCAGCCTGGGACTTCTCCGGGCCTCGGTTTCCCAGCTGGTCCCTGCCTGCTGGGGTGCAGGCCATGGATTAGAGTCAGGGGCTCTGGAGGCGCAGCACCTCTCCCATCTGCTGTGGCACCAAAGCATAGCTGGTGGGGAGGGGCCATCATTCCTTTCAAAGTGACCCCAAATAAGCACAAATAGAAGCAGCGTTGGCCATGTAGACGCTGCCCCACTTATCCCTGTAGGCCACCCAGAGCAGACCCCCAGAGAAATTCTGCAGCCATGGTAGGGTCCTGGTAAGACAGGAACCCACTGCCCCTGGGGCTGAGGAGGTGCTGGGCTGGGGACATGGGGACCTTCTGTTGGGTGCTGGGCTTTAGGCAGACCAGCCCCACTGAACAGGGCAGAGTTGTGGGGTTAGCATTTGAAGTAAGTGGCATCACTTGAAATAAGGTTTTGTGACCATTCCCCTCCACGAGTCCCAGATGGCCAAGCGCCAAGCTGGTTGTTGGGACCCCCAGTGTGCCCCCAAGTGCAGGGTGGGAGGGGGCTGTCCAGCCAGGTCCCCACACCATCACTCCCAGGGCCCCCATCATCAGGCTGTGGTCCCAGCTCAGCCATGAGCACCTCCCGGGAGACTGGAACCCGACGCACACCCTCTTTGCACTTCAGCCACCTTATCTGCAGAAGGGGGCCACTGAGGCAGCTGCTTGCTTTCAGTCCTGAGCGCCGAGGACCCACCAGTTCCCAGAGCGGGGCTCTCACCAAGGTGGCACCCTCTGCCTCTGTCCCCTCCCCAGATGTGAGTTCAGAACGAGCTGGGGTAGGTGCACAGCTGCTTGTCTCCTTGTGAAGAATCACAAACTGGCGCCAGTTGGGGGGACTGAGTGACACCTTTAAGACCTGATGTTCCGACCACACAGGAGGAGGCCTCACTGGCCATCCTGGCACTGGGTGGTCGCTGTAGCCATTCCCAATGGAACTGGACACAGGAGGCCAAGGTACCAACGTCTCTAAAGTAGTGACTTCGCCCTGTTCCCACCACCAGTGGCGGGAGGTCTCCAACCTGTCCCTCCTCCCAACCCCCACGCACACAGCCCTAGAAGCCTGGCATTGGGATCCTTCAACACATCTCGAGTTATATTATTGTAACAAATCAGTCAAAATTCCATTTTACAGTTAAATAGTACAGAAGACAGTTAGTTTACTGTACAAGCAAGTTGTGCATTAAAAACAAACACACCAAGCAAATGATAGTGCAAAGCGGTCTCCGCCCCTCCCCACCCTCTTCCCAGCTCGGGGACGGCTTTCTGGAAGGTATGAGTGTGGCAGGTGGTCCCTCCTCAGCATGACAACAGCCACAGAGGGTCTGCGCCCACCACCGGCAGGCCTCCAGTAGCCGGATCAGAGCCCCTCCCTTCCGTGCGCCCCCATCAGTGCGCGTGTCTAGGACAACTTCAGAGCAGCTGTGTAAGGAAGGACCCACTTTTTCCAGCCCAGGGCGTCTGTACCCACTATGGGCCTTAAAAACAGACACCACGTGGCTGCCATCTCTTTTGGTCAGGGGACGGGGAGTGGGGTAGGAGGAGCAGGGGTCAATTTATTTCCCGTCCCTGCCCCGACCAGGGCTTGGGGATCAGGAAGGGAGAGTAATCTGGGCTGGGGCCACAAAGTGCTGGGCACTGGGAACCCGAAGGTGCCTCCACGCTGGCCTGGGGCCAGTCTGCAACCACAGAGAGGGGTGAAGCAGGCACAAGGTCAATGGCTCCATAGCTGCTTCCTGAGACGGGGAGGGGAGGCCCTGCGTGTCGGGAGTCAGCAGGACACGGCCAGCAGCTGTTTGGAAGAGATGGAGACTGCTTTTCCAGTGCGGGCAGGACAAGAGAAACTACAGCAGCAGGGATTTGAGGGGGATCACCAGAAGGACTTCCTAAACCTGCCAGTGTGCATCCGGCATGTGGACCCGGCTGCTGTCGCAGTGGGCGGCACGGCAGGGCTCCGACAGAGGCAGCCACTGAGGAGCGTTGTCTGTAAGGGAGACTTCCACATCCACGGAGGATGTGGCAGGAACAATTACCAAAAACCACATGCTGCCTAACCTTACAGGAGGTTGTCCTGTCTGGTCCTTCTCCAGTGAACTAAACGGGAACTGACACGGGGATCGAGGGGGCCCGAGCCCTTAGGCAAGCCCTGCGCTTTATCCGCAGGACAAGTGTCCAAGAGCCACAGGTGAGAGTTTGGGTCTCACCAGCATGTCCCTTGGGCTCCTCCAGGGTCACCTGCTGTGGGGGCTGGTGGATGTCACCTCTGGAGCATGTGACCTCTTGGGGAGGTGCCAGACCCTGACAATCCCACACCCTCAGAAGGCAGCTGGGGCAGGGTGCTCCCAACCGCAGGGCTTCGCCTGTCAGAGACCTTGTGTTTGGAAATGTTTCACTGAAGCTTTTTTCCCCCTAAAATCAGTTTTAAAAACTGGTTTTGTTCAAGACTGTTAGTTTTGGTGCACAAAATCAAGATAGCTGAGTGTCAGGAGCTGGCAGATTCGCCTGGATCTTCCCTGGGGCTCTGGGGAAGGGGCACAGCCTGGCTGGACCTCAGCGGATGGGGACACTGACATCTGACCCAGCGACCTCTCACCTTCTGTTAGGACCTGTCTGGCCACCGCGTTCTCTCCAAAAATGGAAATTATGAGACGAGCCTAAGGAAAAGGGGACCCCCTGGCCCCACCACGAGCACGGAGGGCCAATGCCGTGGGCTGGGAAAGTGCATGGAGGGCCGGACTGCAGGTGTTGGGGACCTGCTGCCGTAGACTGGTCACTCTGCTCTGAGGCCTGGGACCCTGGAGCTGGGACATCGCCAGGTGCTGAGAAGTGTGGGGAAGCGGGGCTGGGGTCGGGCGCGGGCACTGGCTTGGGTTCTTTCTCCTCCCACGTCTGCCAGCCGGGTCCTGCCCCATCCATACAGTGAGGGGACCCCGACGCAGGGCGGGTTTCCAGTTCTGACTCGACTGTGTAAATGCAGGGGGAGGGCTGGGTCCACAGGGCGAGGGGCTCCCAGGGGGGAGGGCCCTGTGGCTCCTCCTGGGGGCAAACGCTGCCCCTCTCTGGAACAGAGACGCCCCCGTCCCAGGAGACCTGGCCCGTGACAGCACAGGGCATGGCTGGAGACAGCGAGGCCGATCCAGGGAGGTGGCGGGAGTTCCCACAGGGGTGTGGACTGAGATGACTGGGATCTGGGCTGGGGCAGTGTCCCGGGGGAGGTCCCTGCCCTTCTGTACAAAGATGTGGCCGGACAGACGCACGCGGAGCCTGCTCAGCTCTGGACCTTGAGAGCGTGGCCACCTGGAGCACAGGTCCACTCCTGCCTGGGAGCTGGGCCAGTCGCTCATGGGAAGGCTGTGGGGTCCCCGCCTCCAGCGGGAGGAGTCCGGGCGGTCAGTAGGGCCGCCACACGGCCTCGTCCATGCGGCCCGGCGTGCTCAAGGCCGTGGGCGAGTTGCTGTGGCTGCCGTCGGCCTCCACGCCGTCGCTCTGGCCGCCCAGGCTGGGGTTCATGAGGTTGCCGGCGGCGACGGAGGCGGCGTTGCTGGAGCAGGAGGCCAGCATGCGGGTGGGCGAGCGGTCGCCGCCGCCGCTGCTGCTGCCGCCGGCCACCATGGAGAACTGGTAGGAGCCCGAGGACGCGCCGTAGTAGAGGTGGTAGGGGGACGGGTTGGCCTGGAAGGGCCCGCTCTGGTTCTGCGTGGCCCCGGGGTAGGGCGGCGGGAGGTAGGTGTGGTGGAAGCGGCTGGTGGCCGGCATGCCCGCCACGCTGAGGCTGCTGATGCTTGTGCCCGAGGGCGTGGCGCTGTAGGGGAAGGCCGCCGACATGGCCCCCGGGTAGTGCATCCTGGGGTCGGGGAAGCGGCTCTCCGTGAGCGCCGGCGGCAGTGCTGGGAAGGAGCGGTCAAACTGGCGGGGGTCGGAGAACGGGTTCAGGTCCAAGGTGCCTGCAGGACGGCAAGGAGGGGGGGGTCAGTGACAGCCTAGATGACCCCAGGGACCTTCCTGAAGGTCACGCCGGGGCTTGGTTCTCAAGGCCCATGTGGGGACCCTGGCTCTGCCCTGCCTGGCCTGGGCTGCTCAGGGCCCACAGCCCGCCACGCCTCCAGCAGGGTACAGGGAAGCAGCACCCCAGACCAGAGACTGCCTGGGAGCCTCCTGGCCGGAGTGAGGAGGAGGAGGAGGAGGAGGCTTTCTCCTCTTTCATCCTCCTTCCCAGCCCGGCAGGGAGGCCTAAGGCGAAGGCTGGGCTGGGGACCGAGTCCACACAGACCCCAGCAGCCTCCTCCGGGCAGGTTCCTCTCCTCCCCGCCCCCCACTGTTCATGGCTGGCAAGACCATGGGTGTGAAGAGGGTCCCCAATGGCCCTGTGAGACTGGGAGCTGAACCTGCTTTTGAAGATAAGGAAACTGAGGCAGAGAGAAAGCAGGACTGATTCTCATTCTGTTGCACAGAAGGAAATGGAACTGGTCGTGAGGCCTGTCTGGGGGGACACGTGTGTGCACAGGTGTGAATGTGAGTGCATACCCTGCCCAGGTGCAGCTGGGGAGGGCTCAGGTGCTCACACCCGTGGATGCCCCAGGTGTGGGTGCTGGGTTCAGGGCGGCTCTGCCACCTGCTCTCCTCCCCATCCTGGGTCTGTGTCACCAGGCTGCCTTGCAGCCTGGAGCTGATCAGCGGCCGCACAGTGACCAAGTGCCACGCTCACCTGTCTCGACAGCAAAGGGAGACTGCAGCCAGAGGCGCTGGCGGCCCAGACCCGTGCTGGTCACAGAGACACAGTGACCAGCTAGCCTCTGCCCTGGGCTCCCTCAAGGGCTTGGCTTTCCAGTGGGCTCCAAGACAGAGAGTTCCAGCCTGCCCCCCCCCCCCACTTGACCTCAGGATTCAAAGGGGCTTTGGGGTTGAGCTAAGCCCCTCGATGGGAAAACTGAGGCCCAGACAGGGTGAGGCCCTTGCCCAAGAGTCACAGAGCACATGGGACCTGGAACAAAACCCTGGGGTCTCTGGCACTGAGCCCCAGCACATGCCTAATAGGTAGCTGTCCCACCTCTGAGGCAGCACAGAAGGGAGGTTAACTGAGCAGCTTCTGGGGCTAGACAGTTATCCTGGCTTTGGCTCTTACTAGCTGCGTGCCCTTGGGCAAGTCACTTAACCTCTCTGTGCATTGGCTTCCCCATATTAAAAAACGGGGACACTGACAGTTCATAAGGATTTAGTTAACACACATAAAGCTCTCAGAATGGAGCTGGGCACAGAGACGAGGCGCAGGGCGGCTCAGCGCCGCTGCGATGCCTCTTGCTCCGGGAACCCCTTGCTCGGGGTGGGCGCTGCCCGCCGTGATGGAGGCTTGGCTGCGGAGGGACAGCTGTGGGCGTCCTCAGGCCTCCTGACTCCTCGGCTCTGCCTGAGGTGCTAGGTGACCTCAGGTGGGACTTGGGACTTCTCAGGGCTTTGGGGTCTTCCTTCCCAAGTCAGCTGGGGCGTGTCCCTCAGCAGCAGCCCTGGCCCTGGGCGTGGATTAGAACAGAGCGACGCTTCCACTCAAGGCAGGCGATGTGGGGACGGGAGTCCAGGTGGCCTTCTGGGGCGTCTGGTGCCCTCCCTAACAGGTCCCTTGGCGGTCAGCACCACCTTGAAGCCCGTGGTGTCACAGGTGCCTGGCTGCCTGCCCTTGTCTAGGAGCCCCCGGGAGGAAGCCCGGCGGCACCCCAAGCAAGCATAGCTGCCAACCCGGCGCCGAGCGGAGTGGCAGTGGGTGCTGCTTACAGGACAAGAACCCCATTCTCCAAAGGAAGCCCAAACAGGGACCCCGGGGTGCAACGGCAGAACAGTGGCCCAGGGAGCACAGGCCCTGTAGCCATGGGCCTGGGCCTAGCGCGTGTCCCTCACAGCCTCCATAGGCTGCCCAGACCTGTCACCGTCCCCTCCAGCCTCCCTCGAGGCCACCAGCCCTCCTCCAGGGTGCTGGGGGAAGTCCCTGCCCTCAGCACTCCCCCAGCCACCCCTCCAGGCTCCTGCGCCCCCACCACGCAGCCTCAGCCTCGAGGCCCGGGAAACCCGAGCTGGCCGGGCCACTGTCGGGCAGCCAATCCCAACAGTGGAAGGAAATGTTTATTTTCTTCTCCAAATTGCCCCAGCTGCTGTGTGGTGGCTGAATGAGCCCTTTGAGCTGTGAGAAGCCCCCATTGTGGGCGCTGCGGCCGGGGGCCGGGCGGGGCTATGGGAGGAGCTGGGGTCTCCCCATGCTTGCGGGTGACCAAGGCTGGGGGTCAAGCTGTTAACAAGCGCCCAGCACCCAGGGCGGTGGTGGCGTGGTGTTCCGAAGGCAGAGGGAGGGAGGGCCCGTGACACTGACTCCCCAAGCCTGGGCCTGCCGACACCCCTCTGCGGCAGGGTCTCCTCCTCCCCACTTTGTAGATGAGAAAACTGAGGCTCAGAGTTTGAGTGACTTGCCCAAGATCACACTGTCACCGCCCGGCAGCGCCTGAATTCTCAGCCGAGCCCACGTGACTGCGGAGTTCGAGTTCCTTCCCTGCTCTGGTTACCGAGGACCCTTCCTCTCACCCCAGAGGGGACAGGCCTGGGGCGGGGAGGCCTTCGGGGCAGAGGGCCACACAGGATGCAGAAAGAGAAGTGGGTACGCCACAGCCCCGAACAGGCCCCCTCCCCTCCAGCCCCCGAGTGGAGGCAGGGCAGGCAGGTGCCGTATCCGTCCAGGCAGCCGGGACAGAGACTCAGCCTCAGTCCTCCCCGTTTGGGAGGAGACTCTGGGCAGGGTGGGGGACCTTTCCCAGGTGATGCCGTGGGCCTCTCCAGGGCAGGAACATCACTTTACAGTTTATAAGGTGTGTCCGAGTGCAGCAATGTCACTCCAGCCCTGGGCGGAGGCACTCACAACCACCCCACTTACAGATGAGAACGCTGAGGCAGGGCGGGCACAGTGTGTACAGCAGGGTGCGCCTGTCACAGCTCCTGGGACGACTCATGCCCTGATTTTAATAGGGGAACTGTGGGAGTAACCCCACTGCCCCAGGGGACCGTGTGCTCCTGGAGGGCAGGGCCGTGTCTGCTCACGCCGGTCCCTGGGGCCAGGCGCGGCACACGCAGTGAGTGCACGAATGAAGGCGGCATGGAGCAGGCCTTCAGGAAACATGCGGAGGAGCCAGTGGGCACCAGATGCCTCCTCTAGAAAACAAGGGGGTGCAGTGCCTGACCTCCAGATGGGCTTTGGCTTGGGCAGATGGGCCCCGTCCAAGTCCCCCTTCCACCTCTGAGCCCACCCGCCCGCCGCCCTGCAGCCCCGGCTGCGCCGTACCTTGGATTGGGGTCTGGGCCTGGCTGAAGTGGCTCGTGGTGCTGAGGGAGCCTCGGGGGCTGGGCGTGCTTGGTGTCACTCGCATGCGGACCCGCTCCAGGTCCCCGAAGCGGTCGGGGAACGCCTTGGTCTGGTCCTCTAGCTTCTGCCGGTGCCCTGCAGAGCATGGGGAGTCCATCAGCCGCCGGTTCCCGGGGTCTTAGGGGAGACAGAAATGCCTCACTCTGCTGGGAAGTTCCTCCTGAGATCTAACCTTAGGCCTCAGCAGGGAGATCCCTGAGGTCACCACCAGCCTCTTTTCTGAGGTTCTCAAAAGACTTTCTGAGCAAAGCACGGCCATTATGTGCCACCCAGGGTTGCCATGGTCTCAGCCCGTCTGCATGAGCAGGAACAGTCATTCTTACGCAGGGGCTGAGGGGCTCCAGGTCACAAAGCCAGCAAGTAGTGGAGTCAAGATTCAAACTGAGGGTTCCAATCAAAGCCTGTGACCTAAACCTTTACAACACACTGTTCAGCAGGAGAGGAAACTGAGGCAACAGGCATGGGAGACTGGCCCAAGCATGCTCCCGAGGGAGAGAACCCGGGAGGGCGGCCGCCCTCGCCTCCCGCACATGTCTGCAAGAACAAGGGGAGGAGGCCCCCGGGAGGACCTGCCGCACGCTCCAGGCCTGAGCCACCCAGTGATCCCAGGACACGCCTTCCCCGCTCCGAGCCACAGGCAGAGGGAATCCACCAGGACGCCGGGCAGGGGCGCAGGGCACTTGCGTGAAGGGCTAGACCAGTGCACCTGGCGTGGGGTGTCACACGTGGAGAAGACTGCCCGCATTTCCCACTACCCCTCTGCCCCAGCCTCGCCTCCCAGGCCCAGAGGTGCCAGCAGGGCCAAGGTGGCCAGGCCTGCCTTCCCGCAGCCTGCCGAGGCCAAGGGGACGCTTCTTGAGCGACATAGAACTTGCAGGGACCTCTCCTGCCACACAGGCACACATGCATTTTCAATTGCTCATTTTACATTTCACAAGCAACACATGAATATTTGCAAAAATAAAAGCCTTAAAGATAAGACTCTTCTGTTTTGACCCACCCTAAGCCCCTCTCCAGAAGTCCCCACCGTGACCAGCTTGCAAGTTTTTCTTCCCAGCCTTTTTTTGGCTTTCCATACATGGAAAGCACAGAGCAAGTTTCTCATGGAACTTTCCTGAATGGTCCCAGACTGGGCATGTCATTCTGTAACTTGCTCTTTTTGTAGCGCTCCTTGGAGCTCGGCCTCAGTTTCCCTATCTGTATAATGGGGAAGTAACCCAGCCTCATGGAAACGACGGACTTCCCGTAAAGCCCTGGGGATGCTCCCTGGCAGTGAGGGCTCCGCGAGCGTGACGAGGACCACACTCTGCGCCACTGGACGTCCCTCCTTCTTGCCTGCCACGTCACTGGGGGCGCAGTTCACTCCACCGTTCCCTTCTGCGCACACCCAGGTCGTTTCCAAATTTCCTCTTCTGGGCCCCTACGTGCACTACTCCCCGACGTCCCTGTTCAGGCCTCCGCGTGTTCGGGAGTCTCCAGGCTGCACGCTCCCGGGTTCTCCTGGTCAGCCTGCCACTGTCCGAGCCGCTGGCCGCTCACGACCCAGGCAGGCAGGGGCCGGATCCTCTTTTACACGTGGAGAACCACGGCTGTACCCCGGAGGGGCAGGGAGGCTTGCCCGCGGTCACCCAGCGAGGCAGGCAGTGGGGACTTCCCGGACCTGGGCCCCTTTAGGAAAGAAATGCAGGGAAGCGGCTAAGGGGGAGGAGAAGGTCTGCCTGAGTCCTTTGGCCTGCAGTGACAGGTGGAATTTTCTAGATTGACAAAAAGAGAAGACATCCTCACTGTCCTTTGTGGGGCCTGGACAAGTGATTCCTGGGGCAACATTACAGTGAGAATTGACGGCTGCTGGGAGCCAGGGCACAGCACCAGGGGCCTCAGAACGGACCTGGTTTCTGATTTTGGAAATGGGAACGCAATGGACTCTGGTACTTGCAGACCTCTGAGCTCCTGCCACAAGCTCAGATGGGCATCTGAGGGCCTGAGAAATGAAGCTGGGAGTCCGGGGGGTCACAGTGGGCTCAGAAAGTCACCCAGAACCAAGGAGCCCCACCTCCTTCTCCAGTGAGGCCCCAGGCCAAGAACCTATGGACACTTGGCGGCAGGAACGAGACCGTCCAGCCTCTGGCCAGGCCCCCACCGCCCCTTCCCAGACCAGGGCAACAAAGGGGAAACACTGGCTGGGGGCGCGAACTCCGATATGGGGGCTGGGCAGGTCACATATATGAGACAAGTGGGATGCGTGGGGACTGGGGCAGACTGGAGAGGTGGCCTTATAGAAGGGCCCCCACCTGGGTGCCCTGATGGGGTGGGCCCAGTGTGGCCAGAGCTTCCAAGTCCAGCCCTCAGCCCTAACAGGCCTTGCAGGAAATGCTGTTGCCCGCACTGCTAGGACCACTGGAAATGGCGGGGACGTGTCGATGAGCCGGGGGTTGCATGAATTCTGAACAATCTCAACAGGCAGGAAGCCTACCGGAGGGACGTGGAGACACAGACTGACCTGACAGCAGCTTGGGTGCAAAGGATCTGGGTGTCTTAGTCAACCACAAGCTTGAAGTGAGCCAATGGGACTACACAAAAGCTGGTGCAAAACCTCAGACCTTGTTATTTTTGTCACTGGTGAATAAAGTCCCCCGTTTCTGAGTCACACCATGTACTAAGAGTGTTTACAGTTACCCTGCGGAAGGAGGGCGGGGTTCACAGCCAGCCTGGGTTCGAGGGTGGGCCCTGCCGCTTGCGGGCTGTTGGCCTTGCTCCAGTCACACTCCCTTCCCAGCACCCACGCTGCAGTGCCCCCGTCCCGCTGCCCGTGGGCCGAGGCGCTGGGCTAGTAAGGTCTGTGGGCGCTCTCCACCCACATGGGTCACTGCCATCATAACCGTCACTTCTATCCCTGCTTGTGGCCACGGGAGGTAGGAGTACCAGCCCACGTTAGAGACCAAGGCACTGAGGCCAGGCTGGAGACGTCATGTCTGGACCACACAGCCTGGATGGCAGGGCCAGCATTCGCACCCAGATCCCTGGACTCCAAGTCCAGGGCTCCTTTCCTGACTCTTTCCTTTTCGCTCCCATTGTTCAGATGTGGCCACTGAGGCTCTGAGATGAAACCCACGCTAAGTGGCTGGTCCAGGAGCCAGGCTGCGGATCAGGCAGTCCTGCCGCAGGGCACTGACCCACGCGTGCTGTCCTGCCTCCCCGCAGGGCAGGCTTCCTGGAGGCGGGAGCTCAGCAGCAGCTCGGGATGGCTTCCTTGTTGCTGTGGAACGTGGAGCCACTGCCAGGGAGGGGCCGTGGGAGCCCGTGGGGCCGGCGAGCCAGGGAGTCTCAGAGCCACGGGGCTGGGGCCTTCACACTGGGCGCAGGACGGAAGTGCCTCTGCCCGAGGAAAGAAGATGGGCCTCAGAAAAGGCCTCTTTCATTTGGCTGCCAGAGAGAGGGCTTGGTGGGGAGGGCTCTGGCCCTAATGCGCTTGTTCGTCTGGGGCCAGGCCCTGGTGTGCTGTGTGCCTCAGTTTCCCCTCTGCACAGCCTGCTCACTGAGGTCTCCTCCCTCTGAAAGTCCCTGACTTAAGATTAAAAGGATCAACTGCTGGTCAGATGGCCCCGAAAGGAAAGGAGGCAAGGCCTCCTGCCCCAGGGCCCACCCACCACCTCTTCCTGCTGCTGCTGTTGGCAGGGTTCCTCGAATATTCTCTACCCCCTATCCTTCAGAGCCTCAGCTCAGGACAGCCTCTGCTAGAACTCCTCTTCTGTCCTTTGGAGCCCAACCCAAGAGCCCCTCGTCTAGGACGCCTCCTTTCTCCCACCACGGAGCCCCCGGGCACCTCGGCAGGCGAAGGCTGGCCTGGCAGGAGCAGGAATCACAAAGCCAGCGGCCGACACTCACTGCGCGCTTCTTCCGCTACAGTGTCTACACGGCTGACATGCATGCCTTGTCTCACCCTGCAACATCCCCAGGAGGCAGGTCTACTCCTGTCCCCATTGTGTGGGTGACAAAACTGAGGCTCAAGGACACACAGAAGACACCCGCCACCTGCTCTCCCTGGAGCCCATCTCTCAGGGAAGGATGGGGTTTGACAATCGGGCTCCACAGCAGGTGTGAGGGCCCCGCTGAGGCCCGGGCACAGGAAGATGGGCCTGGGGAGAAGACGACGAGAGGGTCCCTCTCAGTGGACTCCACCAGGGGCTCTGCCCTGCTCTGAAGCTCAGGGTTGGGAGTCCAAGTCTCCAGTCATGCCCTGCTCTAACCCACCACGTCCCTCTGGGCCTCAGTTTCCATACATGTAAAGTGGTTATCACAGTGTCTAACCCCAGGAGTGCCGATAAGCTGGAGGGAGACCACGTTTTTAAAAGGGGAGGGTGGAGGAGGCCTGGGGAGGACCCCAGTTGGCCCGTGGGGCCTGGCTTGGGCTGCTGTCAGTCTCGGCAGCTGGGCTCACATCAGATAGCTCCAGCGAGGACTTGATTAGTGTCCATGGCTAATCCCATCCATTCACTTATGGGAATGGAGAGCCCAGCCTGGCCTCCCAAGGGCCCAGTGGCCCCAGCCACACCAGGTGGCTCTCCCCACCAGTGGTCTTGGCCAGCCACTCTCCCCCTCTGGGCCTCAGCTGCCTCACCTGTAAAACGAGGACCACTCACTCTACTGGCCAAGGGTGAGGACAGGTTTTGAGAATTAAGGAGCCCACTAGGCCTCAGCCTTCGAGGAAGGCGTTCTGGGTTCCAGTCCTGACTTGGCATCTACTCCTGGCAAACAACTCTCCTGCAATGCTTCCATACGGTGGGGTGACCAACCTCACAGGTAGTGATAAGGGCCAAAGTGGGGGGCAGGAAGCCAGGGCCCAGCCAGGCTGGCGACTCACCCAGGGTCACACGGTGGAGGAGCTAGGGGACCAGGGCCGGGTTCCAGGTGGGGGCTCCCTTCTCATCAGCCCCAGGGCATCCTCCTCACCACCCAGGCACCTGGTGCTTCTGAGGGAACGAGAGGCCATCAGGGCCACGCCCCTGTCTCCACACTGGCCCAACATACGCCCCTGTGACAGGAGTGGCCATCACTTTGACAGAGGGATGTGCCAGGCACTGTGCCAGGTGGGCCACACACACCATCTCCAAGGGTCA